CATGCAGAAACATGTGCCTCGTTGATGGAGACCATAGACTGTATAAAAACAAGATGGAGACGCAAGACAAATGAAAACAATGTGTTCTAAAATTGGCTTAAAATATCAAACATGTTTGATACTCTCAGAAACTAGATGGTATCATAGTCTGAAGCTAAAAAATCAGTCTTTATCCATTATACACTACGCAATTTTCTGCGAAATCTGTGAGCGCCAAAATCTTCAAACTTTGGTAATTTGTGTCATCCTCATCCAGATGGCAAATTGGGGCAAAGATCTGAGGAAAAGTTTTGTAGTGTATTCCAGTCTTTAATAACTGCCAGTTGGAAACTATGTGCAAGAGACAACATTATTGCTGTGTGGTACCAAAGACACGAGGCGTCGTAGCTAATTTGCCATTATGAGGTGGCAAATGGCTGATGGTTTCTATGGAAACTTCCACTTGGCTAATAGCAGCCCTTTTACACTGGATTCTCATCTACTGTTAACACTGTGAAAACACATGATGTTCACTTTAAGGACCACATGAAGTGAGAAGTCCTTTTCTACTGATTAGTCATAATTACCAATTAATATATATGTAGGTTTAGATGTCCTTTACAAATTTGCATTTTGCAACTGGTTTTAAGTGTATATTACAGGAAGATCCACAGCATGTTCAGACCTCACACAAATGGAAAATCCTACTCCATGCCACATAATGATCAGTCACCAAATCTAGTAATATTGAATTGATTTGTTAAAAGTAGCTGTTTGCTTTTTTAAGTTATTTGAGTGACTTGACCAACTTTAAAAGAAACAAAAAAGGTTCGTGTAAGAAGAAGAAGTTTTATTTATATAGTGCCTTTCCATAGCTCAAGGTCACTTTACATTTGTTTTTAGAAAGGACGTAAAAAAAGGACGGTTCACAAAAAAAATTAAAATTGTCATTATTTACTTACCATCAAGATGTTCCAAACCTGTATGACATTCTTTCTTAGATATTTTCAAAAATATCTGATGAAATGAGTTTAAAAGCGTTTTTTCTCCATACAACAAAAGTCAATATGTTGTTTTGGACTGCTGTAGCCAACCTGTCTGTATTTTCTCCTCTTTTAGAAAGTTGTGGAAACACTATCATGGATTTTTTTATTTTGATATTCACCGCTATAAAAGTTTACTCAACTACTATTCGGCGACTTCCGCTTTTGAGAAACCCTGGAAATGTGAAAGAGATCCATTGAAACACTCTTCAAAGTATCTTCTTTTGTGTTTTGCGGGAGAAAGTACGTCATACAGATGTGGAACGACATGGAGATGAATAAATTATGACTTTTTTGGGGGGGTGGGCGTCCCTTTAAAGCTTAGCACTGTCACCAGTTAACTCAGAGGTACAATAAAAAGGTGACAGTGTGTTGAAAGGTATTAGTAATAAAGAAATGCTGACAGAAAGCACCTTTGATCTCAGATCAGGTGGACTTTACAGGGTGTTTTGACTAGAAGGTAGCATTAAGGACCATTTTTTTAGACTAGATTTAGTGTTTTGTCTGCTGTTAGCTTTGAAAAACCAACACATTTACAAACAGTATGTTGCCTTTTCACTGAGCGTGTGTTTTGTGTGCGAAACATTGAGATAATTGTGAGGGCTTCACAAAGGTGTTGCACCCAAATATGTTAGAAGTAAATGAGGGATGTGACACGGGATATAATTGTCGTGGCTGCTGCAGATTGTATTGATTTACATGTCAATGCACTCCTCTAGGGAGCTCTTTTGAGGCATTCTCAAAAATCTATCTCAAAAGAACTATTTTTATTAGTACATTTCCCTCAAAAATAAATAAGTAAATAGAAGTGCGTTTTATCTTTAGCTACCCTATGTGAATCGTGACTGTTCCTACAGATCACCTGCAGGCAAATTCCAAGTATTACACAAACCGCATAACACCTCAGTGTGCGTAATATGATGCATGAGAAGTTTGATTTTGAAATTATTCTTCGGTATTATTACTAATTATTCTCAAATATTTTATTAGATATTGTAGTTATGCGGTGAATAATGTTTTTTTTGTGTGACGATTTATTTGTGTGTGCATTTATTAGTTATTTTAGTTAGGGACTGCTGAGAAAAGCCTTATGCAAATTTACAGACAGATGAGACTGAAGTGTATTAGCACAATCTTAAGTGTATTTTTGTCTTGTTTAACCATTTAAACGTTTCATATTTTGACTGCCTTTTAAAGAGCTTATTCTTTTTGTAGGATACTGGATAGAAGGGTAGAAATGGTTTTACTTTAGCCAGGAAAATTGAGTGCTGTATTCTTGGATTAATATTCCTTTCACACTGAACTAACCCTTATGATATGTAGCTGTAATATGTAATCTCAGTTTTAATGGTGTTTGTTTTATAATAATTATTTTGTTGAGGTTATCACTGCCAATGTTCTGCATGTGTCTTGCTTTTTATAGAAGACTTCGCAGGGGTTCATTTCTAAACAGCCAGATTAGAAATGTACCATCACATAAAGTGAATTTGAACGTACTTGTGCCTGTATTTTTTATGTTAAAAGATGGACATTGCTGCGTAATAGCAAACCTTAAATAAATTGTTTTTGATTATAATCCTGATATGAAGGACTAAAATGAATTTCAGAAATGCAGAATGATTTTTGAGCAGATGTTTTATTTATCATAAACATACTGCACAGGGAACACTGTAACAAAACTCACCTGCCCACCTAAACAAAATAGTGTCACAAGGTTAAGTTTGTCTGATAATGAAACACTTTCAGTGGTGTGCAGGTAGAGAAAATGACAACCCAGGTTCTTAAAACCGATACAATATATCCATGAAATGCATCCATATATCCATGAAAGAATTTATAAGTCCACCCTTGATTGATCACTGCAGTCAAAACGATTAATATCATTCTATTGTACAATAAATGCACTAGTGTTGTGCAGCATTCACATTGTATCACTGTATATGCATTCTACATAACACACTTGAATGCATGTGCTGCACCTACTATACACTTTAGTTTGATGGTACTTTAAGAAACAGTCAGTTGTGCTAGTGTTTGCAGGGCCTAGACATTGAACAATGTTGCTTACAACTAACCTTGATTTTGTCTTATATGAAGTGCGCAGAAATAAACAATTGATTTTGATAGATTCCAGCATGCAAACCCAGCCAAAGAAATCGGACAAGCTTGACTGATGTTGTTCCTCATTGTCTTAAAAACTCCTTTTGTAGGCACATGTAAATTGTGCCCTCATATGAATTACTTTACAATAGAGATGCACCGATTGCAATTTTCTTGGCCGATTCCGATTTCCAATTTTTTGTTAGTGTGATCTGCCGATACCGATTTTTGCTGATTCCAGTTTTCTTTCTAAGAACTATAATTGACAGCATATACAAACAAAAATCTACTTTTCTAAGTTTTATTTCCATAAAAAAACACAAGTAAAAAGTCAGTAATAAAATAAGAAAAGAAAAAAAAAAGCAAACAACAGCACAAATAAATGCAATAGAATAAAGAGAGCTATTAAACTAAGTTTTTATTCAGTTAAGAAATACTACAGAAATTAAAGTGATCAAATGTAAAATAACACTGGATGTGTTATTTTACATTTGATTACTTTAATTTCTGTAGTCTTCATTCAAAAAATTAAATACAGATTAATGCTTACCATTCAAGTTATAAAACGTATACAGTCAAGAGCAGAAAATTATTTTCTGTCTTTTGTTCTTTGATTAACATGACAGACAGCAGCAGGAATATTGGACTGCGGTCCCTTCAAGAGTTTATCCACGAACCCAATATACTGTTACACAACATGCGTTCTGTTTCTCAACTATTTAACGTTCCAAAACTTACTGTGTTTAACTGGATACTCGCCAAAACAGGCATTTTGACAATTTTTTATGTATTTGAACGTTTTAGCGCATTTAGCCACTCATTTTGGTATTTCAAGTTTTCCTTTCTCTTTGGAGTGTTACAAGCTCTTGGTGCATAAAGAAGATCTGTAAAGTTGCAAAGACTAAAGTCTCAAATCCAAAGAGATATTTTTTATAAAAGTTCAGAGTCAGCCATACCTACCTAAAACGGCTCGTTTTAAAAACGTTTATTGATCCTGGGAGAGTAACGTTAGACTACAATGCCGGCAGCATCAGTAATTATGTCCCCACTGGATGCAACAAATGCCTCGTTTGTAATGGGTTTTTAATGTTGTCTCGTCGCTCCAGCCGGGACACGGCATCAACACAATATGGTGTAGTGATGTCCGGTTCGCGAACGAATCGTTCGATTTAACCTATTGACGTCATAACTGTAAAACATCCTAGTTTGCAGATCACTGCCTGTATATGTGTTGATGCTTTAGATACAAAAATCCAAATTGTAAGAAACGTATCAGATTATAATTATGTTTTAATTGACTGATGTTATGATTACTGACTTTATATTTGAATGTGTTAAGCCCGCGATAGACTTAACGCCATTACGTCATCGCCAATGACGTCATTACGTCGAGCGTAAAATAACCGGTGAACCGGTTTTTTCAACCGGTTTATTGAATCGAACTGTCCGAAAGAACCGGTTCGCGGAAAAGAACCGAACTTCCCATCACTAATATGGTGAGGGGTGTAACATTTCCGTCTCAGGCTTGAGGTATTCGGCCAATCACAACGCACTGGATAGCTGGCCAATCAGAGCACACCTTGCTTTTTCAGACCGATGAGCTTTGTAAAAATCGATGCGTTTCAAAAAGGCGGGGCATAGAGGAGAAACAATAATGTACAGTATGTGGAAAATAATGTGTTTTTTTAACTTTAAACCGCATAAACACATTTCATTACACCAAATACACAAAATGATGTTCTTTTTAGACCCCTTTAACGAGACGTGTGTGAGAGAGAAGGGGTCGTCGGAGAGAAGACAGCGAGAATGCGCGGCTGACGTTATTGCCTGTGCCGCTGGTAACAAAACGGATCGGCTCGGAATCGGAAAGAAGTGAGACTGACCGGCCGATCACCGATCCGGGCCGATCATGAGAAAAATCGGCCGATTCCGATCCCTGGCCGATCGATCGTTGCATCTCTACTTTACAAACTACATTTTGTCTTCAACCTTTTTTTTTGGACTTTGGGGAAGAGTAACTGTATTATGACAACAAACAAATGTGCATTTATTAAAACCATGATACGGGTTAAATGCTTTTACAGCTTAACACTGTAAAGTAATGGACTTTGTCACTGGTAGCCTCCCTATAATGCACTGCAGAAGGTTTAGAAGTGTCTATCAGCATGCTGTTGCTGTCACGCGAGAAGTTTGCAGTAAGAAGGTCACTCCCTGGCCAATGAGGAAAGGGTTTGCAGCAGGTTGTCCAAGCCCCACAAGTATCCGTCTTCTCGGTTGCCCTCCTCCCAGGGTCTGTAGTGATCCAGGTTCTGTCCGTCTGGGAGCGGTGTGGTCTTACCAAAATCAATGAGCCAGACTTCAGCTCTCTCTGTGTGATTGTGAATGAAGAGAAGCGAACTCCCGATTACCTTAAAGACACGAGACATTTTTGAGGTGGGCCGTATCATATGGGGGAAAAAACACCATAGTTGAAAAGTGCCATTCAAACATTTGAGGTCAGTAAGATTTTTTATGTCTTTGAAGGTAGTTGCTTATGCTCAGCAAGGTGGCATTTATTTAATCAAAAATACAGTAAAATTGTACTGTAAAATATTATTACAATTTAAAATAACTGTTTTCTATTTTAATATATTTTAAAATGTAATTTATTACTCTGATGACAAAGCAGAATTTTCAGCATCATTACTCCAGTCTTCAGTGTCACATGATCCATCAGAAATCATTCTAACATACTGATTTAGTGCTCTCAAGAAACATTTCTTACTATTATCAATGTTGAAAACAGTTGTGTTGCTCAATATTTTTGCATAAACCATGACACATTTTTTTACAGGATTCTTTAATGAATATAAAGTTAAAAAGAACAGCAGTTATTTGAAATAGAAAATTTATGAAACATTATAAATGTATTTACTGACTTCAATTTAATGTGTCCTTGCTGAATAACAGTATTCATTTATTTCCTAAAATCTTACCAACCCCAAATACTGCAGTACAGTACAACATTAATATGGTGCATAATGAATAAAATAAAAAATATATATTCTTAGACATCAAGTAGCTAGATATTCATTTTAAAATTGTTAACAACTCAATCCTTGTTTTTTACTCCCTTAGTATGTTCACTAATTAGATATTAATTGGAAGTGTACTGCAATACAGTACAGCATTAATAAATAATATACTAAAAAAATCACTAAAAAAAAATTCAGATTTTACCTCGTGTTTCTTGAAGAACTCTGAGGCTTTCAATGCCTGTTTAATATCTTCAAGCCTTGTAATATAGGAGTTCTGTTAGGTAGGTGAAGGAGAAGAGCACAGCATGAATCAGTAATTCAACTAGAATTATGCTAGTGTGAGGCTCCAATTACACAAGGACACCTTATAAGTGCAGTTAATTTGTTTCAGATTTTTTCTGTTGAGACATTATATATTCCTACGCTTGCCTCTTTTAAAATAAGTATATCCTTTAAATATAATGACTTTAAACCATATAGACCCCATATTGAACAGATGAGCTTTTATGATACTGTTTTAACTGCCTTATGGGAGCAACGATATCTGGCCTTTTTACATCAGACGTATATACATCCTGGATAAAAAGCACTTAAGGTGTTCATTAAGACACAAAGAGAATATTGTTCCATTGAAGTGTAGGTGTGCATGCATTATATCACAGAACAGGTTGGTCTAGTTCTCAAGAACTCACGTACAGTTATGTTTTTATTGCCCTCGACGAAATCCTTAAAGACCTGAATGACGTCTTCCTTTGACCGGGTCTTTTTAAAGTCTGTCTTGCAGGTTTCCCCCCTCTGAAAAAAGAAAATAATGTATTGTATCGAATGTAAAAGGAAAAAAAAGTCAGATGAAGAGCTGTTACTGACAAAAACAGCAGGTTGAGGATAATACAGTGTTCAAAAAAAGCTGTCACTGAGGCAGTGCCATTTCAAAAGGTACACTTTTGTACGTACTAATATGTACACTTTAGGTAGTAATATGTACCTTTAAGGTACCGATATGGACAGATGTATACCTTTTGAAAAGGTTCTGTCCCAGTGACAGCTTTTGTACAAAACATGTCAGTTAATACATTAATTCTTGTACACTTAATAGTGTTTAAAATGATTTGTAAATTATCTTAAACTGATTTGTGTTAGTACATCAAATGATTATTATGACATTATTTTATATTTTAATAGTTTTGTTGTTATAGGACATTAATTATTAATCAATTATTACTAAAATTATAGAATAATAATTAGTTATAATTGTATGGGATTTATTTCTTTATGTATTTAATAGTTTAATATGAAGTGTTATCATTATTAATAATATAGAATATTAATAATTAATATTACAAGTTAATATTAATTCATTAATATTACAAGTACAAGATTCAAAGTCCTGATTTTCAGCTGAACTCAAATTCTGCTAGCTGTGAACAAGCAGGCTGTGATTTTTAGGCACTGTGGCTACCTTGATACCCTCAATGCGGAAGCCCAGAGTGTTAGTAGAGCTGAGACTTTCTCTCCACTGCATATAACGTGGTTTGGTAACAGCCTTCTGTTTCTTCTCCTCCGCTGTAGGAGCCTCTCTGTCCACCTCCAGCATCTTATTATATAAGTCTTCACGCAGCTTTGGCTTCACCCTGGCCCGCACCAACTCCTCCTCCAGATATGTCCTGAAAAAAAGAAAGAAAGAATGAAAAGAACGAAGCAGATTTTTAAATAACCTAATAGAAAGGTCAATTAATCATGCCTGAAATGTTAATTCAGTCATCTGCCGTTTTTATTTTTTGCATGCTTGAACTTTACTTGACTTCCTGTGTGAGAAGAGGATGTCACCAAGGGACTCCTTGCATAAAATGTCTCTCAGTGTGTAAAAAGAATGCGTGAAGTGTGTGTGTGTGAGAAGGAAGGAAGCCCTCAGGGACGCCCCGTGTCTGCCTCGCTAAGTGTGCATCTAAGTTTTGACTGCATGTGCACAGGAAGTGGTTATTATTGTTGTGCGAGGGCCTCTCTCTCTCCTCATGAGCTCCACCCATCGCCCTGACAGGATGCAGGCCAACAACCAGAACAGGTGTAAACCTGCCACACACAATATATTAGCATGACTATAAAAAGGAAAGAATGATACATTAGCAAAACAAGTAATACGTTCTGTGTTTTATTTAATAACAATCATTTGAATATATTATTACTATATTTAAAAAATAACATTAATAGAATATAATTAATAATAACTAATATATAATTCATATGATTAATAGTATACAGTATATTTCTATTTCTATTTCAAATAAATGCTGTGATCTTTCTATTAATTAAAGAATCCTGACAAAATGTATCATGGTTTGCACAGAAATATTAAGCTCCACAATTGTTTTCAGAAATGTTTCTTACACACCAAATCAGCAGATTAGAATGATTTCTGAAGGATCATGAGACACTGAAGACTGGAGTAATGATGCTGAAAATTCAGCTTTACCATCACAGGAATAATTACATTTTAAAATATATTAAGATAGAAAACTGTAAAAAGTCCTTTCAAACTGTAACAATATATATTAATATTTCAACATTTTACTGTGTTTTTGAAAAAGAATAATAATAACAAAAATACAGCCTTGGTGACCATAAGAGACTTTAAAACACTTAAAATCTTACTAACCCTAAACTTTTGAACAGTATTGTATATCATTCAATTGATTAATTAACATGAATCTTATTTTTTTAATCTCAGGTAATTAAGTTTAAAGTGATTTGCATAATTAATTTAGCTTACATTTTATTTGATTGGGTGGTTCTGTGACTATTCTTTTAAAATGTAATGAATGATTCAAACTTGTTTTGATTGATCATAGAGAAAAAGTCAAACTCATGAAGCTCTAAATGTGTTTTTTCCACACGCATTCCCTGTATCACTTGTAAACATTATAATATGCAAATACATCATAACAAATAAAGTATGGAAAAATTAACAAATGACACTCAAAATATAAAGTAAATTCCTTTCTTTGGCAATAAATAAATAAACAAACAAAACAATGACTCTACCTCACTCCCATCTTGCAGTCCATGACGTTAGGCAAATCAAATTTGGCCAAAAGGTCTTTAATTTTGAGAAAAAGCTCTCCGTCTCTCTCGACCACTCCATAGTAGCTGGGCACGAAGGAATGTAAAGCATCCTCTTTCAGCCTCTCGAAACACAGCTTCTCATTCTCTGAGAACTTCTTCAGTATGGAGCCCTCATCCCCTGCTTTAAAGCTGCCTGGGCAGAAAAACAAACACAGACAAAGGATGGCTGAAGTCACTGGAGCACATATAATCAACGCTGAGCTGATCTTAGTCAGGATGTGTGCCTTATTCATCTGTGAATATGAATATTGCATGATGACTGTGCACACATTCATGGTGTAAATAATTTATGTTTGATATCTGCATGTGTTTAGCGACGCTTCAGATGTGTTGATGAAAATACGTTTATACGTACACTGCCATGGTTTTTGGCATGTGAATATGTGTGAGTCCAGTGTCATTACATAACACTACTCATAACCGCTTCCCTAAAATGGTATCAAATGACTGTACTTCCTCATGTATTTTACAAAAAAAATATCGCTGTTTACAATAAAACAGCCAGAAGACATTAGCTAAAATCAGTGACGTTTTTGCCAAGGAAGCAATCCGTCCGCAAATAACTTTGATGGAGATGATTATTGATAGTACAGAAATAAATAATGTCCAAAAATGAGTTAATAACTACAAATAAAAACAAAGCTACATAAAATATGCATTTTACCCTATTTTTGATTTTTAATTTACATACAAAATAACTACTTTCAAAAATAATAATTACAGAGTAAAAAGCACATTCAAGTCAGATTTGGTTTGAATAATTGCTTTCTAAAAAAATTCACCAAAATAATAGTTTAAAAACAATATTCATGTCTGAAGGTTGAGGTTAATAATTTAATAATTATAATAATTAGTTGAAAAAATTATACTATAAATATTCAATTACTGGTTGCTTACATTGTAAACTTCTGTCCTATATGCATTTACCCCGGAAACTGTGCAAACTGTGTAAATATGGAACTGAAACATGAATTTACATTGGACTAAAATGTGCAGCATTTGGGGGGTGGGGTTACCTTTATGGCCTGCTAACTGAACCCAGGACAGTCGTCTTCGCTGTGAGGTCACTAATGGGCAACTGACAATAGTCTTCAGCTTCCACCAGGCATTGATTTGCTGGAACACATTAAAACATTAATCATCCATGACATAATCATCCAAGTGCATTAAATATTTCAAATACTCTGCTGTAAACAAAACTCAACCCTTGACCATCTGACAATAAGTCTGAGATAAAAGAAGTGTGACCAGTGACCAAAACCAACTGACCGTGTTTTTTCAACACTGCACAATGTTCCTCAAGTGTGTGAGACTGAGTCATACACACATGGTCTCCGTTGGAGCTGTGAAGCTCTGTAATCTAGCACTTCAGCCCATAACATAGACGTATGGTTTGCTGCCCATTTCAAATAAGCATTCTGAAAAACATGTCTGTTCATTTGAGGAGTAACATTTGCATAGCACGCTGTTTCTTGAAGTCAATGTGACATTACAACACCCTTTACTTTAATAATGTGACATACTTTCAACTGAACCAGGTGAACCAGTGAACCAGGAGATCTAATTGTATCCACTTCCAAATAGAGTCAATTCTGATTTAATTTTGATTTTATAGTCATGATGTAACAGACGCAGCGACAGATCGTATCTTCGATATTGTGACATAAATCAGATTAAAACAGATATGATGATGCAGGGCAGGACTTGGTTCTATCTATCACTTGTTGACTGGATAGAGGCAGATCTAAATAACACCTTGTAGTCGTGATTCTAAAAGTTGTTTTACCGGAAGACTCAATCGTGACATTTTGATTAAAAATTATAAGGTCAAAAAAAAAAAAATTGCCTACATGGATAATTTGTTCACAATAATATCAATAACACAGAGCTGCCGTTCAAAAGTTTGGGATCAGTAAGATTTTTAATGTTTTTACATAAGTTTCTTACGCTCAATAAGACTGCATTTATTTGATCAAAAATACAGAAAAAACAGTAATATTGTGAAATGTTATTGCAATTTAAAATAAGTACTATTTTTCATTTCTATGTTAATATACTTTAAAATATTAATTCCTGTGATGTAAAGCTGAAACAGTTGTGCTCCTTAATTTTTTTTTGTTTGACGCTTTGGTGAATAAAAAGTTAAAAAGAACAGCATTTATTTCAAATAGAAATATTTTGTAACAATATACATTATCATTCAAAAGTTTGGGGTCAGTAAAGTTTTTTCTTTCTTTTTTTTTTTTTGAAAGAAATGAATACTTCTGTTGTGAATGTGTTAAATTGATTTTAAAAAATGTGATAGTAAAGACTTTGTTAGGAAAGATTTCTATTTTGAATAAATGCTCTCCACACACACACATTTAAATAAATAATTTAAAATAAACATTAATTAGATCAACAATAGTTTGATATTATCTTGTTTTCAGAAACATTGGGATCCAAAATAGTAAATGAAAAAAAATTTTTTTTTAAATTGCTTAGCCCTACAATAAAAATAGTTTTGATATAAAGATTCTTTATACTTTAACATTAATTATCATGTACTGTACCTTACTGAGATAATCACCAATCACTGCCATTTTCTCAGTATTTTTTGTTACTTAATAAATATTAAATGTTTTAAACAGCAGTAAAAAAAATCTATAAATATCACTTTTTCTTAAATGCACTTTGTTTGTTGATCTAGTTACTGCGTTTAGCATTCGTATGGCAGTAAAGCCCTTAAATAAATGATCTTCTTTTATCTAACACAGAAAAAAACTTTTAAAAGTTTTATTAAAATGCAGTTATTTTCCCCTAAATTGTAAAAATAAAATGTAAGAAAAAAAAACCTTTAGGAAAATGGATACTGCAGGTGTTGAAATGGTAAGGGTGTAGCTGAAGTGCAGTGTTTGTTCTTCCACTTGATATGGAAAGAAACATGTTTGTTACGTTCTATCTCTGCTGATGTGCTGATGAAGCAGATGAGTGAAGTTTGCCAACATATGTTGAATTCACCCTCAGGTACAAAAGCTGAATGGAAAACCTTCTTTACAATACAGTGTGCAGCAATTATTATTGAGCCTTTAAAATGGATGTGGTACATAAAACTTTGCTTTGGGGGTTGGACAAGATCCAGAGAGTACATCTTATTTAAAGTCATGCAGACTGCGTACGGCCCTGTATAAATACAGAGAAAAGCCATAAACCAAAGGCTATGCCCTGCACTTTGTGAAGCTGTGCATACACATTTTTAACACACCCATAACTAAATATTGAACTGGACACTCATGCAGACAATTCAAACATTGTGGTGCCAACTCTCAAACAACTACCATTCACGTTTTATAAAAATGTGACACGTTTCTACGACAACATAAAAAGCTTTACCTTCAATAAACATATCTACTGAATGAAAAGAGTCAACACTCATCTGTTTTGTCTCTTTGCTACTAAAAATGGCATTTTAGCAGTAATTAGAATTTTTAATACAATTATATTTCATTATTAAAAACGAGGCATTTATGAATTATATAAAAATCAAAGTGAAAATATAAAGCTATAGCTGAACATGACATCTTTGGTATCTTTTATTTACTAGTTAGACAAAAAGACACAACTCAGTTTTACCATGACTACATTTTGAAGCACATTTTTACTACAACAGAGGATTGTCAGTTTTTACACTGCCAATCCTCTTTTGCAGTGAAAATGTGCTGCAAGAAAAAAATAACAATAAAAAGAATCATTTCAAATGTGAGTATTAAAATCTGTATTGTAATCACAAGAGTTTATAAAACTGACCTGAGCTGCTCTACCATCGAACTGCGGGTGGAAACTTGTTTGTGACACTGTGGCTTCTGCTTAAATGTCAAGCTGCAATGAGTTTATGTTTTGATATAGGCTGATAAAATGAAGTGTTTGTCACTGTATGTGTTTTCCTTCTCAGAATAGGTGCTTGCAACAGCTCTGCGCAAACATTCAATTTATAAGCTCTAAATGGCTTTTTACAGTGTCATTGAGCTTGACTTTTATTGGGCCAAAGAAGATGAACATTGATCAGTTCATTCAGTGCAAGATGTGTAACTTTCCGAAAAAGAAAGAGTAGATACTACGCAGACATGGTGTCAAGATTTACAGAGGCAAAGTGTTTAAAGTACAATGACAGCAAAGGCCTTCTATGGCTGCGGATGAGCTTGAGGACCACAAAACATAAGACATCCATTCCGAATAATCACATGGCAGAAGTGAGAAACAAAACAGAGATGACTGGTGAGATTTATCCATTAAGCACTGTGTTAAAAAATATTACTTCTACATTTTTATTTGCTCTTCTTTTTAAGACTTTTATAGTCCTTTAATTTACATTCACCCTTACATTCATGCATTTGGCAGATGCTTCAATCCAAACTGGGTTTTAATGTATTCAAAGTAACTTTCCCATCCAATAACTGCAATATTTTCTAAAAAATTTGCAAAGGTCATCACTTTCACCTCTATTTCAGAAATTATCAGCATGTGAGTATGTATATGAAAAAAAAGGCTTTGGCACATAGCGGTTAAGCCTGTTCAGCTTGTTATTTTAACACTCAAAGTGCTGCCAGCTTATTAAAGCTGCACGCCTGTGATATTTGCCCAACTCAAACTACATTGAAGACGCTTAATGCAAACAAAAAATAAACAATTCCGATAAAAACTCTGAACAGCCTACTTTGTAAACAATGAAGGAGAAATTTATCGAACTGCAATGGATGGATGGATGTTTCCTTTATATTTTTTAGCTATTTACTACTGCAAATATTTCATCAGAAAAAACATAGAAGAGCCACATGATACAAATCTAGCCGCAAATGCCATGTGTCGTGTCACAGTAGTTTTGAATTGGCAACGCAGTGAACAGACACGCTTTCACAATTAGGAGCAAGTACAGACAAACAAACACCCACACGAACGTACCATAATCATGACCTTGCATGAGCTCTTTACAGCTATTGATTGAACACAAAGCTGTTATTGAATATGAAGAGTTCAATCAAAAGTTTTCTAATGCCTCAGTTATAAGTACAAAAAATGAAATTCCTCAAGATACAATGACAGGTATCAGAAGCCTCATTGGCAACTCAAGAACAGATACAAAAGATTTCATAACTTTCAACAAGACAGTTCCTCATTACTAGTCTCATGTTCTCATGATGGGTTTCGAATTGTCTGCTTTTATTTTAAGAAGAGATCTGTAAGAATAAAGAGCCCATAATTTAATTCACCCCAAGTCTCTCCAGAAGTCTATATTTACTATATAATAAATGAATCACAATAAAAATTTACGATTATTTCTTATATATCTTATAGTTGTCACATATGTAAGCCTTAACTATATCTCAGTAAGGTTTTGAGTCATAAGTCCACTTACACAAATATGTGATGCTCTAGAAGTGGTTTTGTATGTGGGTTTTAAAAACCTATTTTAATTAGGTCAAAGCCCTAGTTTTGGTTGGAAAAATATATATTTTTTCCCCAAATTAAACTTACATAATTCGCATAAAAATCTAAATATATAATATATATAAATAAACAATAACAATATAAATAAATTAGAAAAAATGTATAACATTGACCAATACAATGTTAATTTTTTTGGTGTTTCATAAACCCCTTAACTGTCACCCCCCATTTTGTTAAATAGGCATTAAAGTGCACTATCCAAACTTAAATTGTTATAATTCATGAACACTTTGGTTGAGAGGTTGGTCTCTTTTTAAAGAAGACAGTCAGCAGATTATTGCAGAAGTGGAATTATTTCAAAAAATTTAAATATCAAAAAGTTATAGAAGTTTAAATTTATTGTAAAGAAAATGCACTGTATAATTTGTATTATATTTTATATAAAATAAATATTTTACATAACAGGTTTTACTCTAAAATTGCTTAAAAAAAAAAAAAAGTAAAGCCTTATGTCTAAATAAGTTGTGTTCCAAATTTGAAGTTGATATGAAAAAAATGTAGGTTTCTGTGAGATTTTATTTAGGGCGTTATACCACAAACAGCCACCGGGTGCCTTTTTTAATGCATTTTTCTGTCACAAATGTCTAGATTTCTCTGTCAATATTAAATATGTCAAATATCAAATATGGAATCCTGAGACTCAGACCTTTCCAATTATATGTTTTTTGTCAAGATTATAAAAAATTTTGATTATAAAAGACCGTTATGCATTTTGTAATATGACACTTGACACCGCCTGCTAAGGGGGAGGAGACCACCAAAACATTTTAAAGCACCATTCCCATGGTAACGCAATGTCCAATTTCAAAATGGTTTTCACAGAATGAATCTTGGACTTCTAAGCGTTCAAACGATATATAATTTATGATGATTACTAAAATATTTGATAGAGAAAAATACAACAATATCAAAGAGCGCCAAGCGTCCCACAGGTGGGACGGTGACAGTTAAGGGGTTAATTAAATCTGTTGTGTTTTTTAATTGGCTGAAAATCCCATTACAGGATGCCAAATGTCAGGTTCAAATGTGTCAACTTGCCACATATAGTCTGATAACATGACCCACTTGGCCTATTGCACCAGGTTATCACAAAAGATCAACATCTGTTTAATGAACTCGATTCCTTTTTTCCCCTGTGCAATAACGGTTGAAATATACAGCTTTTTGCAGCCAGAACTAGAAATATAATGTTGACTCTATACTGAAAAATATTCACAAGAGTAAAAAGTGCGACAACTAGCCCCTTTACAAACTACAACACCTACCTCTGTCTACCCAGTAGTTCGTGCCTTCTTTATAGATTATAGCACGTGAATGACTACATAACCTACCTCTGCTGAATCTACCGAGTCCCCCAAATGCTCGAGAGTCACGATGCCTTTGCTTTTGGTCTCGTTGTCGCTGAGGATGTCATCCTCCGACTCGTCAAACGCTGTGGAGGAGCCGTTGGAAGAGATGGAGGAGTTGGAGAGTTTGCGGCGCAACCGTCCGTTCACCTCCTCCTCCAGATCCTCCTCAGTGATCTCCCGTGAGTCCCCATCAGACGTGATGGTCACCTGCGGAACTAGGCACCCTCTCCCCGGGTTACCGTCGGAGAGAAAGCCTGCTTGCCCACTGTACTGTTCCGCCATCTGTGCTTGATCATCACAAATCTCTGTGGATAAAAAGTTTCCTGCGCGTCCTCCTCCTCTTCCTCCTCTCCTCCCTGATCCGTCGCAAACCGGAGACGAATGTGAGAACACCGCCTCTGTTTGGGCATCGAGGTGCCTGGAGGGCTCAGGTTAGGCTATCCCACCTCTGTCCGAGTGGCCACACGCTGCTATAGTGAGTGGGGGCCCCTAAAGTAAATCCAGCGTGTCAGAGGCTTTGTTTCCAGTAAGTTATGTAACAAACGATCTCCATCCAGATAGCTTTGTTTGGCTTAGCATGAGTCCGTGGACGCACATTCACAGCCTGGGAGCCCCTGTAAACAGCGCTCGAGCTGGGTGAACACACATCTTCCGCGTTTGAAGCGTTTCCCCGCTCTTCCTGACTTTTAATTTGACGTTTGCTTGGTAGCGCATTTCCTTATTCAGTGTAGTATTCGACCACACTGCTGTTTATAGTCTATTCGTGTAGACATCGGGGTAAACCTTCACTTTGTCCATCTGAACTTGCAGAGTGGACTTTAAATGTCAAAATAACAAGGAATGTAGTCCGCATGTTACGAATGTAGTAAATATAAAATTATTCAAAATCACATGAATTAGGTCTACTATGATTTCATTCAACTATGTTGAGATATCTACACAACAATGTTATAAAGCATCGTATATTATAATGATTTTCTAACTGTTGTTTATCAGATTTATGCTAAATTACAATTAGAAATATGCAAAAAATAAATGCCAAAAACAGCTTAAATACTACTTAATATCTAATCCTTTACTGAAAATATCTCATTCTCATTCAAGTTTACTAGGGTAGCTATATAATTAATTCATACATGTTGTGGTTGTCAGAATTTGAAGGAAAAAATCAGTGAAACAAGCATTTTGGTGACTGTATATTTTAGAAACTGTAGACTATCTCATTAAATTATATAATACTATCTATTGGAGCTATTAAATCTTGTTGTTACTGTAAAATGTAGCCAACTGATAATAAAACAGATGTATAATGAAAGGTCACATGATGACGTAAAATGAATCAGAATTGCCCTTTCCAGTAACTGTGGTCATACAAACGCAAAACACACAACACACGGCACAAAAATAATGAAACAAACGTCAAATAAATAACATAAAACATTTCAATGTACATTCTGGGAATGACCATTTCACCTTAAATGATAATGCATGCACTTTTTATTTCTAAAAACACTGTTATCAACAATATTTTACCCTGATTTGTTAAATATAATATCGATTTTCTCTGTAAATTAGAACGTAATTCTACTTCTAAACAATTTGTATGTACTAAAACATTTGAAAGGAAAATCACATTTAAGCTATTGTTTATTAACTGACTGTGATCTTTCCTGTTAAGGATTATCAAATATTATTTAATCTGCTTTAAAATATTTGTAATAATTTTTACAGTACCTATATGTTAAGGTAACTTACGGTTAAGTTTTTATAGCATCTTAATGTTCCTTTCCTACAGTGTTTTGTGATAGTTGTCATAGCGTTGTGCTGTAGTTTGTGCTTCCTCGCAGTAGGGGGCAGTAAAGCTCTAGTGGCAGGTAAAGGTCACGCACACAACACAAAAGCAGAATGCAATTCTTTCCAGAGCATTTTAGTGAAGTTCAGGATTGCTTTCCTGCACTCTTCAACTATCCGAGTGCAACTGCATAATTAACTCAAGAGTTTTTGCCTGTTTTGTTCTGCCTTTATTCTGCAGTTAGTGATGGGAAACCGAGGATTTCTGAACCGTTTGAGGCTTTCATCAAATTGTTCATTACTCGAAGCTTTTTAACACAGTGCGCATTAGCGACATCTGGTGGTCAGACTCGGTTTCTCCAGCCTATCTAACGAAACATCGCGGAGCAGAGGATGGTTTGAAAAAGTTTTTAATCTGTGCCAACCGGTGCCAACTCGTGTCATGCGCAGTGGCGGCTCGTGGGTTTTAAAATAGAGGAGGCACACTAATTGTATTGGTCTGGGGATCCCTGCCGATTATTATTATTATTATTTGCTTAACCACTTTGAAATGGCTTTTTGGTTGCTTTTAGTCAGAACACGTAAAGAAAACGACATACATACAGCAAGATAATATAACTTTGCTTACCTGGTCTGTCACTTCAGTAACATGTTATGGTATTATAGCTGTGAAATTACAAACCAAAAATACACATTCTGAGACATGAACTGAAATGAATTGTGAATTTTATTAACATTAAATCGTCCTCCCATTTTCACCTCAAAATTTTGGGTAAGCTGTTCCTCCCCTGCCTCCCCCGACGACCCAGCCAACACACCTATGTGGGCCCATAGGGGTTGCAACTGGGCTGATATCTGGGGCCCACCTGGGCTACCCAACTGGGACCCAGCTAATTTTGTCCTCAGTTTCCATGGTGGCCCCACATGGGTTAGCACAGATGGGCTGATGATGGGCCCTTGATGGGCTCCATATAGGGCCCATATGGGTTAACCAGGTAGCTCCCATTTGGTGCCTACATGAGCCTGCCTACATGGGTTAGAGATGGGACCCAACTAGGTCTTATGTAGGTCTCTTATGGGCCACAACAGGTATACATATGGGCTAATATATTTGTCTGTTTGGGTTACCTTATTTTACGTTAAACCCCTAAACCCAAACATTACATTAAATCCACTAAAATTGTAAAGGTATTCAATAAACAGAAACCAGTA